TTGCGGGAAACAAGACTTCGGCTTTATTGTTCCTTGCATGCAATAAACTCATCTGTTTTACTTCATCTCGGGATCAAGAACCTTATTTCTTCTGTTACAACAGTAGCTCCACCTGGCAGTTTTACAAGGTGCTTCTGGATACTATTATCCTATTTTAAAACAAACATGTGGTATGATCTGGTATATTGCGGGAAGTCCACCACGTTTTAACGCAGCGTACCTCAATCATTTTGAATGGCTGGATCTGTATATTCTGCCATGAGGTCTACTTTGTCCCATATCCATGAAGGTTGGCTTAATGACTTCACTCAGAATTATCTGGTCAAATTAAATATTGATGGTTAAATATTTATGTTCTAAGAGGACTGAATTCATTTTTTTCATTAAAAAAATGGTTATCCTGAATTAATAATTTGTACCACTTTTTTGCTCACTAGGAGCTTTGGCCTTTGTAACTGCCTCATGTGAGATGATTAGAAGAAAGGACAGGGTTATGCAAATATTTACACATAACTTCAAACATTTGGCTACTCTAAAACCTGCCATACTATAATAAAATCTGTTTTTCCTATAGTGTGTAATTGTATTATTTTCCTTTTCAAAACACTACTGTCACTTTTATTTTTTTTACATAAAAATAATTTACCTATTCCTACACCTTGTCTGTATTAAGTAATTGCAATTCCTGAACAAATTATACTTTAATATGACCTTGTAGAATAAACTGTTACTTAATTTATTCTAGAATTAAGTACTGTTTATTCCTAATTTTAACTTTTAATTTAACATTTTAATGTGCAACTTCGTTTTCCAATTTTTTTTTACGTTAGCTCTATGATTTTAAAACGTCCTTTTTCGACTTTTAATCTTGCAAGGCCTTAAATACATTTGAAGAGCTTAGAGTAGGAATGTGTGCCAGTGTGAAAGCAGCACAGGAATGGGAAGGGACTATATCCAGAGAGATAAGTAGAACAAATAAAATATACAATGTTTGGACTGTGGCATGTTAGGTTAATGATATACATGTTTGGAGACAGCACAGTTTGGTCTGTGTGATAAATGTCCTGTTATGCCTAACAGTTACTATGAGCTTCAACACTGCTGTCACATGATAATGTACTGTATGCTTTCCTGTTAACTTTTCATCTCTCTTCATTAAAGTACCCCAACAAAAAGCATACAACACACAATAGTGGAGATATACTTACTTTGATGTTGAGATTCTTCTCACACTAAATGCATAAATGTACTGTCATACCAAATCAGGATATTATGTCACTCCTTTCTATTGTTTCAAGAAAATGCACTTTTAATATGTGCTGATTCTCATCAAACTCTATACTAGATGAATAGAATAGTGCCTACAATGTGACTTTCCTACCAGTAAAGTTTAATATGTGCATCAGTGCTTTTTATTAAATAATGTTTCACCTTAACTCATCATGAGCTCTGTTTGCATTGCAAAGCCTTGACTTTGAGAGAGTATAAACATAACCAAATAATAGTTTTATAATGCCTAAGTTGTTTTTTTTTTCTAATAGGCTGAATGATGATTCTTTTCCAAAGGTTTAATGAGTTCCTTCTAATGTACTCACTCGGCTGCAGAAGAAAAAAAAAAACTTTTTTCTTGTCCTTAATGTTGTTCTAATGTAGCACATTTGATATTCTAGCTATCAAACCTGGATGCAGCTGACCTTGGACAACCTTTGAGTCTGCACATATTTTAAGAAATCCACTTAAAATACCATAACTGCAGGTTTATGCAAAGATAACAGGGCAGGTGCACACACATTTGATGATCATGCATATTTTTCAGAACTGACTTACTACTTGATGGAATGAGAGAAAAGACGAGAGAGCTGTGAGCAACAAGTGAGTCATGTTCAGGAAATAATTCTTTCAGAATGGACATTTTACAGCTTTAGTTAACCATCTATGCATAGTTACATCATAAAAGAAGGTGGTTTGCAGTGTTCCAAAATCATTTACAGACTGCAAATGGTTTTATTAATACAATTTACAAAAGTACATGCCCTTCCCCCAAAAGAAAGGATTATTTCAGCAACATAATAATCTCAATTCACCTGTTTTACACACAAATTATGTTTATGCTCACCTTTTTGCATTACACAAAATACTCTCATAAGGCACAATTGTAATCAATAAAATCACATAATGATAATGAGATAAATATAAGAGCCCTGATCATAACACAACAATACTCACTCCTCCAAGTGAAAACACTGGAATTTTTAATTGTTCAATCACAAATCAGAATCAGAAGATGACTAAAAGTGACTTCGTTCAGGTGGGTAGCTGTGTCAGCATGCGTAGTCTGCAAACGAACCAGTAATAGGTTTATTCCACATTGAAAAGAGAAGAGAGAAAACACAACGTTTCCGCTGTGAAGCCTTCTTCAGGTGTAAGAAAGTCACTTCACACAATTTTCAACCCTCTCCCCTTTGCACTTCCTAAGTGGCCTTTCTGCCTCTCCTGCCTCCTCCCCTCTCCCAGCTTTTGTTCTTCTGTGCAATTTAATCTTTGCTGTCTGCCCTGTCTTTCTCACACCTGAAGAAGGCTTCACAGCCGAAACATTATGTCTTCTCTTTTCAGCATGGAACAGCCTAAAAAGGCTCTGCATGGCTTGGCACCTCAGTACCTGTCTAAGCTATTATAGCCCTACTCCCCATCTCACAACCTTTGCACTTCTAATTCTGGTCTCCTATCTGTACCGAAAGCTCATCTACACTCTATGGTTGACAGGGCCTTCTCCTATTATGCCCCAAAGCTCTGGAACTCTATTCCCAAAGATATCAGTCGCTTTCTTTTAACTCCTTCAAATTCAGACTCAAAACCTTCTTCTTTAGAAGAGCTTTTACTTAACTGGTTCTATTTTTTACCCCTCTGCTCCTGCTGTATTTATTACCATCAGGTACTGTCTCCTCTAACTGTGTATTCTCATCGTGCATATCTTGTGTATTTTTATTGATGTTTTCATTCTGTAAAGCGCTTTAAAAGCGCTATATAAAATAAAGTTTATTATTATTAAAATAAATAACAAAATCTGTTTCCATGTTTGCTACATAACACCATTTTCACAATACACAGTGTTTCACAATGTTGCAAGTGCAAGATTTGAAGAGATTGTAGAGATAATTAGAGATAATTATTATTATTATTATAATGCTGGAACACATAATGTTATTATAGTGTTTTTCATTGATCTCACCAGTGTGTAGTATGTACTCTTTAGGGTCTATTAATTTGATGGGCTGTGTGTTCCTATTGAACACAAAGTTAATTTTAGATGGTAATTACATATTATTAATAGAATGTTTCATTTTGTTAGAAACTTCTGTTTGCACATTTGGGTGTGGATTTTGATTTTTGAGTTTATAGTTTTGAGAACATGGAGTATAATTTCAGAATTATACACCCGAAGAAGGCCCCAGAGCCGAAAAATTGTGTTTTCTTTCTTCTCTTTTCAGCATAGAATAAACCTATAAAAAATCTACTAAGACGTTAGACCACATTGAATGCTCTGTCACCTTAAATCTCTGGTTAGGTATTTCAATACTGTAACTCCTCCTTGCATTAGAGTGAAAAACTCTCTTAATAGATTGCTTTGGTCTACCCACAGATACTTTGTACTGTTTGTTATTCACAGGATAAACTGCTTCACTCTGCCAGAATTTGCAGCAAACAGCAATGGAGCTGTTCGAAATAATAAGGAATAATTCGATCATTTATTTTGATCCACGTCGCCTTTATCATTTAATAGCAGTATTTTCGTTAGTAACGGTAGCATTTAAATTGTCGAAACTGTTTATTAATAGAAAACAGGCGCTTAAGATCCTCGAAAGCTTCCCTGGACCTCCAGCGCATTGGCTTTACGGGCACGTACATGAGGTAAATACAGTACTCCCAATCTGACTGAATGAGAATTGAATGAGAATGGGCGGATTCAATGTTACTTGAATGTTATGCAAGCAAAGGACTATATATTAATCTCATGTTACAATTTTTTACATTAACAGGCTGTAAGTGCATAATTAACTGGAAAATATACACGCAGCACACAGACATTTGGTTTAATTATACTCACAAGAGTAATGTTGGCTTCTACATGTGATGTTATTCAGTACACGAGTTTATCCCTGCGTTTCTAATCGCAGAGCCTTCACTCCCTCTGAAGTATACATACAGTATGTAACATTTTTCTTCAGCCTTTCCCAGTTTAGGAGAAATATTTCCGGAAAATGGTTGTTGTGTTCTTTGTGTTCCTTGTTTTCAACAGTTGCCGCATTAAGAGCTTACAATTGCAGTTAAGTACTACAGGTTCATAATTATATGTTTGCACCTACAGTATGAATGTCAGAAGACCATAGGATTTGCAGAAAAAAATGTATTTTATTGACAACGTGCTTGCAGTGAGACGGAATACGTGTTTGAAAACATTTGAGTTTTGAACTAAAGGACACGTATCGCATCTTGGCTCGATAAAACAGTTGTTAGCTTAAATGACATAACATTTTTTTTCAATGTTACTGCAAAGGCGCAGTTTTATAGACCATTTCTGTGTATGTCAGTAAATAAAGGGAACTGAACAATTTGACAGTTCTCCCAGTCTGCATCCATGGAGATTGATATGTCAGTAACACAGTTTTGGATTAAGATTGTAGTATAACTATACAATTCTTGTATATTTTACGCATTACACTTGGCTATCGTGACTAAGTGGAACATTATGTGTTGTAAAAGTTTTAAGTGTTATAAGTAAGATACACTACTGCCCCTATGTTAGCTTTCGGAATTATTTTTGTAGTAGCTCATTTACAAAACATGATGTTTTGTTTTCTTATGGACATAGTTTGGTTACTGAAGGCTTGCACTTGCAACTGTAATTACAATAGAAAACAAAGCTATAAATAATGCTGCAGTTTGTCTTGTGGTGAAACCAGTCTTTTGTAGGCATAATAGGAAAACAGGTTGGGAGAGACTCACAGGCTGTTAAAATGGTGTCATAGTTCTCAAATACTTCCTGTAACATGTCCAGGAGAACTCCTTGTGCCTTCTTACTGTACCCCTCAAATATGAAAGATTGTGTTTCCTCAGAGGTTTTTGCATATTTTAGAATTCAATTATATTTTAATTAATTTAAAATTGATTATTACTGTTTTCAAATATGTTACTCTCATGTCAACTATATTACCCATATGTTTTATATGTAAAATATATAGTATTTAAAATACATTTATTCTGTTTGGTTTGTATTACACAAAAAATAGGAATATTATCATTTTTTTCACTTTGATTCAAATTCAAAGGTAGTACCACAATGTTTTGTTTACAATTTCATATTTAATAGACATTTAAGTTTCTCTTAAAGCAGTTTGAGAAGAGAGTATTTGCATTAATTTCCCTGCCAGTTGCCTTGCCACTAGGGACAAATGTTATGACAAAATAATTAATTGCATAAGTTAATAACTAATTACAAAATGTTTAAGTTTATTCCAATGAATTTATATAACAAAAAATGCTAATGAATAAAAATGTAAGCATTGTTTGCAGATGCTATTTAATTTATTTCAATCAAAAAATTGAGGAGGGTAACTTAGGGATAACCAAAGGGGTCATCAAGGCAAAAGTTTGGAAATCACTTATCTTTGTGTGAATTCTCTAAGTAGAAAGATAATTTTTAAAATATTCCTATGGAATTAAAGTTGGAATGAAATCCTCAGCAAAACCTTTACCCTAGTGATATTTTCATACAATGAAGGTGTTTTTCAGGTGTTAAGTTACAACAACTAAACAATTAAGTACCTGATTCAGTTATCACCGGAAATGTCAAATAATAACCATCACTGGCAATTTCCAAGAAAAATAATTAGTTTATATTCCCCTTGCATCCTCAGCTAACATATTTAAAAAATACAACAAAATCATAATACCTTGTGAAACAAGCAAAACAACTGTAAAATGCAGAATATATACACAGACATATTAGAAGCAAAGAAGGTTTTGGATAAACCACTAAACTATTTTTTAAAATATAGTTTAAATCAATCTTCCAGATAAAAGATTTGAAGAAACTTTCAAAGAAGCAATTGCAGAGGATTTCGGTTTCCAACTGATGTTTGCACCTCAATAATCCATTCGTTCTTGAAAGAAGAAATTATAGTATTGTTATGAATCTCATGATGATCCTATTCTCAATCCAGAAGAAAAGTTTAAAGTTGAATCATTGTATTTTGGATGTAGCTATAACTGTGATCGAACAGAGATTTTATCAATTTCATGCAATTGATATTTCAATTTTTGTATGATATTAGAAATATTAAAAACAGTCTTCCAAGGAAGATCTAATGAAGTATTGCCAGGACCTGCATTTAGCACTCAGTACTAGCTCAGTATGTTAATATTAAAAATGAACTGCTTCTCGGTGCCCAGTTTCACAAAACTGAAACTAATGAAAATGATCTGAGATTCACCATGTCCCAGAATTGTTATCAGGATTAGCATGAAGATCAATTGAAAATACCACAGCAAAAAAGTAGATTTAACCAAAAGACTATCCAAGTAGAAAAAATCAATTAATAATATAACCTCTTTTATATTTTGAGAAATTGTGCACACCAGAAGACACTAACATTTTTCTTCATTACACGAACTATATAGTGTAACCCAAAATGTTTGTAATTATTATTTTGTTTAAATTAAATAATAAACTAGTAGGAAATTGTTTTATTTCACTAACTAAAAATTTTGTTTTCATTTCTTAAATTTGAAGCATAAAAATTGCAAAGTGCAGGCATGGGTAAAAACAACAAATATTCATAAAAAACCTAGTGCCGGCCCTGCTGCTGTCACGGGAACCAGTCCTGACTCCCATGAAAAGCGTTGTATAGATCCTATGCGGAAAGTATAATCCAGAAGTGGCTGGAGAAGGACAAAAAGGAAGACATGGCAAGAAATGGACAGGAGGACAAACAGGGGATGGTGACGGCAGTGATCCGGTGCTCAAAGGGCGTAGCGATCTAGTCCAAAAGGGGGAATCAGGGTGCAGTCCAAGGTCCAGGTACTGGGGAATCCATCCAGACAAACACAGGGAAAAGGGATCCAGGAACATGGAAGGTAAAACCATAACGGTGCAAGGTGCTCTGAGCCCTGGACTCAGATGGTCAGGATGCCCGGGGAAAAGGCCTTGCCCTCGGGCTACTCCTGAGTCAGGTGGATAGGCGGGCCTTCAGACGTCCGTCTTCCAATACTGTGCCCAGAATAGCGGAGATGCCAGGCTTAAATAATGAAAAAGGTAACAAGACACAGGTGTAGGTGTAGGAACTTAAACTAATGGGAATACAAAAGGGTAGGTGCACCCTCTAGAGGAGGGAAGACAATTGTGACAGCTGCCTACTAAGGGGAAACAATATTGTGCAAGAGTAAATAATTATATTTACTTCATGTTATTCTTTGACTCAGTAACTTTTCTTATTCATTTTGTCATTACTTCGCCTGAGTAATAATTATTTACCACTAGATCCCACTGTTTTTATTTGTTAAACTGTAAATCTGCAAATGTACGTTCATTCTTAAGATCTTCCTACACATTTCTTTAGCAGTTCTCACTCTTCAGTGAGTAAATCAAGAACTTATACACCTGACATTGACAGTATTCACATTTGCTAACTCATTCATGTTAATTTGTGTAATTAAATTGATATATGTGATATCATGTGATATACAAAAATTATAAAAAAATTAAATGTTATATTTATAATATTTATAAATTACTAGAATCAATGATGCTCACAAATTTATTTTTGTTTTCAGCTACCAAAATTCCCCTTTAGATACATGATTACATGTCTATGTTTGAGAATGAGATTTCCTCATTCTCTTCTGTGTTGTTTTTATTTTGGAATAATAGTGGTGTTACCTGTATTATGTACTATTAAAGGTTTTGTTACAACTTGGGTTCTCTTTTGGACAGCACTTTAGCATGCAGTGGTTAGCATTGCTGCCTTGCATCACTGGGGCCTGTGATTGAGTTTTTAAGTTCTCCTTATGTTTGCATGAGTTTCTGACAAGTGCTCCGGTTTCCTCCAACTGTCCAAAGACATACTGGTAGATTAATTGGCTGGGAAAATTGGCCCTGATATGAATGTGTGGATGTTTGGGTAAGTGTGGCCCTGCAATGGACTGAGTGTATCCTGCCTTGCGCCCGTTGTTTGCTGGAATAGGCTACAGCTCCCCCTTGATCATGTATTGGATAAAAGAATGTTGATGGATGGGCGGAAATAGATCTATTGGCCAGATAATTCTTGATGAGTTTTGAACTACTCGCTGAAGACGGAGCTGGTCTGGGTTCATCGACATGGTCCAATATCCTTCAGCTGGCTGGTCTGCGCAGGGATAACCCAGTGCCCAAAAAAGGAAGTTAGTGGTCTGCTGAACTTTTTTAAACAGTCTGTGCATAGAAGTCTGACTCTGGTTGGAAGTGAGATGAGTGGAAAGAACTATAAGAACTAAAATTCTTTACTGAAAATGCTCTCATGTTCAGAATATAGATAAAAGGAGTCTAGCTATAATGATCTATGTTGTTGATCAAGCAAAACTTATTGGGCAGAATCCTGTTATTTACTCACTCACTCTCTTAACCTTAATGTTCTGACTCAGACTACCTGCAGTCATATGTTTGCTAATGTGAAGCTGACAGGTAAGATGGAGAGAGAGAAAACAGCAACAAGTGAAGAAAATGAGTTGTGTAGTATGTTGTAAGACAAAAATCACAGTTGCTGATAAGTTATGTCATTCTGCCCAATCTGCACGTTCCTCATTAGTCGATCATCCTTTAGGTGATTGACAGTGAAATGTGACCTTAATCGTAGGTAGAAGAGGATGCCAGACAGAAGGCAGTCACAGGCTGCACAATTTATCACTGGGGAGTTGAGAATGGATGCAGCTTGATGATATTCTTGTCTGTGCTACAGACTAGGGATGTGCTTCTTATCTTATCACAAATGTCCCTTTCAGCTACATTTCTAGAGCCTAACACAGAGGCTGAAGCTGTCTTTGCAAGACAACAGAAAGATTATTAGAAATCATTAAGCACACTAAATTGTTTTAAGTAATAATATGCCTTTCCACTGCTGATGAAAGCAACTCTTTGTGTAGTGACTGGATATTGTTGATCAATGGACATTTTCATACTGTATATCTCAGCCACTGAAGTCAGTAACTCTTTCAAAGTCACTGTTGACCATTTTTTCTCCTTGCTCAATGTGGAGTGATAGCAGAGTCTAGGCAGTGTCTGGGTGCCTTCTACTTGTTAATCATTGATATCACCACACTAAGAGATATTAAGGGCCTTTGAAATGTTTTTATACGCTTTTCCTGATCTGTGAATCATGGATGTCGGAGAGGACAAAACGTGGAGAGTGAGGAGAGCAGAAAAAGACCCATGTGCATAGTTGCGGAACGGGGAAACAGCCCGGGCTCAGCAGTTCAGGAGTCGATTAGAAACCAATGGCCTCAGGCAGTGGACAAGGGGTGACCTGGATGCTAGGCGGGTTTCAGGACATCCGAACATCAAAGCTGAGCGAAGCAGAGTAAGTGACCCGGAAATATATAGCCCCAGGGAGAGAGAGACACCGGAAGGAGAGCAAAGCACAGGAATCTAGGGACAGGACAGAGTGGGAGCGCCCTCTGGTTGCAGAGGACGTGACAGTACCCCCCAGAGGCTCCTGATGCCCATACAAATAAGTGAGCTGCACAGCACTGGGGGGAGGAAAAACCTCATTTAACTGAAAGGAAACCTCTGGGAGTCCATGGCTGAGAGCTGCCCCCTCCTCCAGAGTACAAAACTTTATTGGGTAGAGGAAGGGGGGGTCAGGTAGAGCTCCGGAGACATAGAAGAACAACAACAAAAGACAAGTACATAAGCACAAAAACAACCACAGAAATAAACCTGGGAGACAAGGGTAACAAACCACAATAAACAGATAGGAACCAAATGTTCCACAACACAGGGGTCAGGGGGACCAGAGTGAAGGGGAAACCAGGAAGTGAAAAATCAAAACAACAAGCAAAAAACAAAAATAAAAACAAAAACCAGAGGAAAAAAATACCACAGACTGGGCAATAGGCACATTCAAATTCTATCACTGAAATCGGAGTGGACAACCCTAGGAAAGCCAGACCGTAGTCCGCTCACAAGCACGGATGTCTTGAGTGATATCTAGCGAAAAGAATGGAGGAACAGCAAAAAAGGCTCACCAAACTAATGCTGATATCAGCAGAAGACAACCTGAGGAAAGCCAGGCAGCAGCCCGCCCACAGGCACGGATGTCAGGAAGGTGATATCCAGCAATCAGAATGGGAGAGGAAAAAAGGCTCACCACCCTATTGCTGATATCGGAGTGGACAACCCGAGGAAAGCTAGGCACGAGACCCGCTCACAGACACGGATGACCGGAGTGATATCCAGCAATGAGGACAGGAGGGCCAGCTCAACATTCAATCACGGATGCTGGCAAGAACCCGAGGAAAGCCGGGCAGCAGCCCACTCGCAGACACAGGAGTAAAAAAAATAGCATCCCGTGAAATGAATAGAAGAGCTGAGAGAAAACAAAGCCCAGAGAAAAAAACTGTGGAAAAACAAAAAGTGCCACTCGCAGGGTCAGTAGGTGACTCAGCTTTCTATCACGGATGTCGGAGAGGACAAACCGTGGAGAGGGAGGAGAGCAGAAAAAGACCCATATGCGTAGCGGCGGAACGGGGAAAAAGCCCGGGCTCAGCAGTTCAGGACTCGATTAGAAACCAATGCCCTCAGGCAGCGGACGAGGGGCGACCTGGATGCTGGGTGGGTTTCAGGACATCCAAACGTCAAAGCTGAGCGAAGCAGAGTAAGTGACCCGGAAATATATAGCCCCAGGGAGAGAGAGACACCGGAAGGAGAGCAAAGCACAGGAAACTAGGGACAGGACAGAGTGGTAGCGCCCTCTGGCTGCAGAGGGCGTGACACTGTGCCTTTTATTTTACTTTAACCATAATCTTCATGGTGGAATCTTTGCTTGAAATTCACTACCTGACTGAGGGATCTTCTTTAGAGAGATGTACTTAGCCACTCAACTGTGTGACTTAAGGCAATGTTGTACTCCTACAGTATATTAATTAAGGTTTGCAACAGCAATGGGTTTAAATAGTACAATCACATATTTGTAAATTTGCATACTATTTACTTGTTCTTGTTTTTTTTATTTTAAAAGTGTAGAGCAGGTTATGTACTGTATATAACTAATGTTAATTGCTAGTCAAAGTGTATGACTTCAAACTTGAAAGCAAACTTCAAATGTGAAAATTGTAAAAATTGACTGTCAGCATAAATTTGCATGGCAATGTACTTGGATCTTATTTCTTTGCTACTTTTCCCATTTTGTTTTCTTTTTCTGTCAAAAGTTTCCACAGGATGGGGATGATTTAGACAAGACTGCAAAATGGGCAGACCGGTACCCATATGCTTTTCCATTATGGTTTGGACCTTTTGTACCATTCTTGAACATTAACCACCCTGAATATGCAAAAACTATCCTTTCAACTACAGGTATGAACTCCAGTTGAGTGGCAGAAAGTTACTAAAGATGCCAAATGATACAGATATTATGAATAGTTGAAAAAATGTATGTATGAAGATGTATTCACAATTTGTTTGATATCAGATATTTGTACAATTCTTGATTAAATAAGATCAATGATTTTATATTGACAAGAGGTGAGATAAAAATCATATTAATATTATTTTGAAAACGTACTGTAACGCAACTGGGGCTCAGGCGGGCGCCCTTGCCGCATCTGGTCGGCCCAAAGTATAGGTGGCTCGAACCCGGGACTTCCGCGTCTCTCTGCAGCGACCTAGCCCCGTGAGCTAAAGAGAGATCTCTCCACAGCCCAGTAGCTGTGGTCCTGCTATCACAGGGAAGGGCAGTGACGTCACCCGCTCTGGTACGCCGGCTCTTACACACACTGCTTGTCGGCCGTAAGCGTTACACTCTCCCCCGCTTAAATCGCCGTCCCCGGCGAAGGGCTATCCCGCCCCGCTCTGACACCAATGTAACGCAACGGGGTCTCAGGCGGGCGCCCTTGCCGCATCTGGTCGGCCCCATCCCGACTGGAGACTCGAACCCGGGACTTCCGCGTCTCTCTGCAGCGACCCAGCCCCGTGAGCTAAAGAGAAATCTCTCCACAGCCCAGTAGCTGTGGTCCTGCTATCACAGGGAAGGGCGGTGACGTCACCCGCTCTGGTACGCCGGCTCTTACACACACTGCTTGTCGGCCGTAAGCGTTACAGTACTACTATTAAAACGTATAATATTATTTTGAAAGAGTATACACTATATATACTGTATACTCTGTTCGTAGTAACAAAGAACCACTCAAGAAGGCCTGAGATCTACACAGAATAACTGTAAATAATATGATAAGCATATCTACTTTATTTTACAATAGTCAAATTACTAGCTTCGGTATAAAAGTCTAGGCCAGGTATTATTGAAAGAATTGTATGTTAAATCTTTGACTGTGCCTTGCAGAAGATCACATTGAAATTGTTCAATTTTCAGACTTGTTTTGTTTAGCCTATTCTGAAAAGATAATTATTATATGTGGGTATTTTTTTCAGAACCAAAGGATGACATTTTATATAGATTCCTTATTCCATGGATAGGTAATGTTCCGTACGTTGTTACCTGTGGATTTTTAAAATGCCATCTTTGACACATCGTATTCTGACATAAAATAAAAACAAAAAAGTGCACAAACACATGAAATAATTTAAATTTCATTTCATTTCTTTCTAACCAGAAGAAGAAAGATTTTTGTTTGTCTGAAATGTCCTCAAACAAATGATTATTTCATTTTTTAAACCTATTTTAAGATATAAAACATCCAGTTTTGTAACCAAGGTCACAATTAGTCATTTCATAGCCAGTTCTAGATAATAACTTCTGATAAACAGTGTTTAATCATGGCTGGTCATGTTCTTGCTTTCCAGGGGAAGGTTTGCTTGTGACTGACAAACAGAAATGGTTTAGGCACAGAAGACTTTTGACACCTGGATTCCATTATGATGTCTTAAAGCAATATGTAAAACTGGTAGCTGATTCTACAAAAATCATGCTGGTATGAACATATTTTTAGCTCGAAAACTTTTACTTTCATACTTAAAAACAAATGTTTATGATTTTCTCAGGACATTAGAAATAAATTCCTAGCACAACACATTAAGAAACTGTATTGACTGTACTCAAGTGATTTGACCTCCTGTTAAAATATCAGAGGTAGAATCTGAAAATTTCAGATTGCATTACACTTTCAAAATGTGTTTTTTAAATGTCCTGCGCCATTTTGTTTGTGGTTTCTAAAACTGTTTTACAATTTACTTTTACAGTTCTGGAAAACGTTGTGCTAGATTACCAACATTGCATTCAATTGAAGCAAGTCCCCATGCAGTCTTTAGACTCGGAACTGTTTTTACTTCTATATTTGCTAAGATTACATTTGTTAAACTAAAGTAGCTAGATTTTTTATCATCTGTTCATTTGGTTATTTCAATTGTACAATTCAACACATACAGTATGCAACTCTTTTAAGACATTAAACCTTTTAAAATTGAACGCAAAGGTAATTTTGCACCAGCTAATTTAGTTTTTATCTTATACAGGACAAATGGGAAAAGTATACTGGAAAAGAGGAGTCTTTTGAAGTGTTTCAGCATGCTAGCCTAATGACGCTTGACAGTATTATGAAGAGTGCATTCAGCTACACTAGCAACTGTCAGACTGAGAGGTCAGTATTGTAAAACATGCAGAGGTATAGATTTCTATTTAAAGATTCTTTAAGTTTATCTACACATTTAATGTATCAATTTCTCTGCATGTTCAAGGGACACAATTATGAGTCAAAATATACTGATGGAAAAAAGAAATGCAACATTTTATGGAATGAGAATACTATAGTTATAGCTTATGTACTTTCACAAAAGGTTGTCAATTTGTTTTAAGCCCTGTGACCAGCAATACAGCTTGTGCAGTGAGGCATTGCAACTTGCCAATCACACAAAAGCTCGTTAGGTGTACTTTAACCCAACAAGGTCCAGGTGGAACAATGCCTGATCCGGTCACCTTTCTCACTATTGATGGTGGCTCTGTCGCTAATGATCTGTGCCTGTGGCTGAACGGTGGCCAGTTCATATCCCGTGGCCGGCAAAGGAATCCTACTCTGTTGGGCCCTTGAGCAAGGCCCTTAACCCCAACTGCTCAAGGGGTGCCTGTTTAATTTGGTTGACCCAGTGCTCTGACCCCAATCTTTTCTCCCTGTCTGTGTGTCTCATGGCGAGCAAGTAGGGGTATGCGAAAAGATAAATCCCTAATTCATTGTATATTCCAAAAATTGTACTGTATATGGCCAATAAAGTGATCTGAGCTTTAAAAAGGCCTTAATTCAAACCTTAGGTCACTGCAAGAAAAAGACCACACATAGTCAGTTTTCTGTGCATTCTATAATGCCTTGAATGTCACCAGAAGCAAGGGAGAGAGCTATTGGCAGGCATGTCATGTGCCAGTGTTGCCAGTGTGACCGTTGCGGTTCTGCGTGGACTCGTGCCCTCGCCGCTCCACCCCTTGCGATTCGTCCTGCAACACCTGGGGCGCGAACCCGGGTCTCCGGCTTAACACAAAAGGGAATCAGCCGCATGAGCTAAAGGAGACCTCCCTCAGCCCAGGCGGCTGAGGTCCCTGCTATGCGCAGTGCGGGCGATGATGTCACTGTGTCCAAACTAGCTCTGCTACACCAGACACTATGGAGTAAGCTGCTCCACTGTGTTCTGATTGCAGAGAAGGTTTCAGCAAACCGGCAGGTCAGATGACTGTCCAAGATCCGATTGCCCTTGAGTGACCACACCAGAGCAGGATGGACACATCACCCTTACTGCTGCAGAAACTGCTGGCAGACACAATGCCCACATCAGTGAAAGTATAGTGAGGCTCCATGCTGCTGGCCTTAGAGCAAGGAAAGTGTCAGAGGCCCTCTGCTCACACTTTTTAGACGTCACACCCGACTGGCCAGACAGAGGCTGTGATAGACTTGTCAGCAGTGGCATTAGGTCCTCTTCGTGGATGAGTTACTCTTCAGCCTGTTCCACACCTACGGGAGGGTCAGAGAGTGGAGGTGGAGGTGTTGCATTTCTTTTTTCCATCAGTATACCTATATATGAAAACCTTGCAAAAATATGTTATTAAACCACAAACTTTTAATAGCATTCTTTGGTCAATAGAAACAAGGATGGAGTTTTCTCTTCTAACAAGCAACTGTACATTTTAGTTCAGGTGGGTAGCTGCGTCAGCATGCATAGGCTGCAGAGGAACAAGTAATAGGTTTATTCCATGCTGAAAAGAGAAAAAAAACACATTTTGGCAGTGGAGCCTTTTTCAAGTGTGAGCACTGTACATTTTGATCTGATTAAGAAAAACATGTTCACCCATCAAACCCATGTACATACATGAAGAAAGCATTGGTAAATCATTGACCTATTTTAATGGAGCTGAAGGGAATAATAAATTAAAGGAGTCACACCTCTAAAATGCCAGGAGTCTATGTTGATCTGTAAAGAGATGGCACCTACTCTACCTCCTAGTGCTCTGTCAAGTTCCATAGAAATAGTGATTTCTACAATTTCTTAGGTGCCTGCAGGCTCATGATAATGTCAGTGAGAGATGTGTCTCTCTTTCTGTTGATGCTGAACTTGCTGTAAGTTGTAGCAAAACTTGTAGTATGTTCAACTATCAAGTAGGTAGCTGTGTCAGCATGCCAGGCTGCAAAGGAACAAGTAAAGGTTTTATTCAATGCTGAAAGGAAAAGAAAAGAGACAGTTTTTTGGCTGTGAAGCCTTCTTCAGGTGTGAAGGAAAGAGAAAAATGGTAATTAATGAAAACTGGCAGAAGAAAAGAAAGGGTAGTTTAGAGTATGCAGGGAGCATGGGGTACCAATGTAAATAACTAGGCATTTTCTGCAAGAGATGCAGGGAGGTGAGACAGTAAGGAGACTGGGAAACCTTTACAGGAAATGTGAGGATCAAAGATCTCCCCAAACCCATAGTTTCCAATATCAGCTCTATTGGCCATGATCACACTGATCTCTCTGTCTCCATCCTCACAAAGGGGTTTCGGAACTCCTATTACAGAAAGACTTCCGAAACCAAAATGATCACATTATAACTAGGATCACACCTCCATTCCCTTAACAACAGACTCGTCTCCTTCCAATCCTCTCTATTCATTTGCAGAGTTACTCCTTCTCCCTACCCGCTGCCTCCTCCTGACTACCTCTCTTTTGTTACCCTGTCTTTTGTTCTACCATGCTTCACTATCTGCCAATTTTCCTCTTTCCGAAAGCTCCACAGCCGAAACATTGTGTCTATTTTCCTTTCAGCAAAGAATAAACCTTTAATTGTTCCATGTTAAAAAATAAATTATTTGATGGGTAAACATGTCAGTGGGCTCTTTTTTCACCTTGTCAGATTGTAGTTTTCAATCAAAATAGTGTGACTATCACTGATGCATGGCAACACAAAGTAAGAGCTATAGCTTTGTAGTATCCTATCTACTGTATGATTTATCAATTTGTTCTTTCATTGTTGTGTTATGTTCTCACTGAAATGGGGATTTGTAAACAATTTAAGTAAGACCTCTCTTTTCCAAATTAAGAATAAGCTGAAAGAATTTGATTTAACTGGGAGAGGCTTAGCATGGCACAGTGGTACCATGGTTAGCATTGATGCCTTGCAGGACTGGGACTCTGGGTTCAGTTCCTGGGGTGCTGTCTGAGTAGAGTTTGTAAGTTTTCCCTGTGTTTCTGTTGGTTTCTTCCCATGGTCCAAAGACATACTGGTAGATTATTTAGGTTCTGGGAAAATTGACCTGGGTGTGAGTGTGTACTGTGTGTGCCCTATAATTGACAGGTATCCTGTCCAGGGTGTTTCCCTCTTTGTGCCCTTATCCTTGCCAGGATAGGCTCTGGCTCCCCTACGACCCTGTATTAGATAAAGAAATGGATAAGTGGATGAGAGAGGCTTGAAAGTCAGATGGTGAGGTCAAATCCTTATTGTTTGATGTGAATTCGCATCCATGCATATCCTTTAGGTGAAAAACAAAACACATGAAGAAAAAATAGCTTATTTCAAGATTTTTTATGACAGCAGCCAGCAATTAAACTTTAACTTTTGTATTTGTATCCCTTACTACAAACACCAATGACTCCTGACATGGAGAACAGTATCCATTCGCAGTTTGCTGACTGCTGTTATGATGCAGTAAAACACATACCTTAATTGTAATTCCAGAGCTCAAATTAGTTGTACATCTGGTAGATCCCAAGCTTAGGTGATTGTATTTGCATATTAAATTAATTATACATTTTCTTTTCTTTCAGTGGTACAAACATGTATATTAAGGCAGTCTATGAGATGTGCAACATAATAAACCTCCGATTCAGGTTCTTCCCTTATCACAGTGAAATTCTTTTTTACATCAGCAATCTTGGCTACAGGTTTCGGAAAGCGTGCAAGGTAGCACACCAACACACAGGTTTGTTATAACTAATTATTCTATTTAATGTTTTAATCGGAAATTGGAGTAATTATTGTGAAGGGGGTGTAAGAGGAGAAGATACAGATATAAAATTCACACAATCATGCTTGCATTTCATCATCAGTAACCATCCCTGAGTATTACAAGTTTTGAGAAGTTAATATAAAGTGGATTTATTTCCTAATGCGAGAGGAATGCTTAACGCTGTGAAGAACTAAGATGTGAGCACCTATTGTCTTAAAACATGAGTACAGACTAGGATATATTTCCTTCAGGATCACGAATGGAACAACATTAACACAGGTGCTTTTTACATATCTTTGTGTTTTTGTAATAAATTGATTTAGAAAACACATGCAATTCTGTGTTCTTTAGAATAAGACTTATCACTTATTACTTCAGTAATACTGTTCAGTTTAGCTGCTACAACACACAATATTAGTCATAGATGTAATAAATGATGGAGACCTTCCAGTGGCACTCAGCTAATTTGGACATACACATGTAGCTGAGACTCCCATACATCAAGCAGCTACTCTTATGTTCTTTAAACTAGTTTATGTTTGGTGTAAGGTGGTTTCTAGACCTATTTTGTTTTGCAAGCCCCTGATTCACAATGCATTTGAAATGAAACTGGATCTCTCATCTCCTAAAGCAAAATGAAAAAAAAAATGTTGACAAGCAGGCCACAGATATCAGTGTTGTGCTTTCCTACGATGATCCAGTGGGGGTGAACCTGCTTTGGCTTTCTGATGTACAGCACTTTACAGAGGATTGCAACTGTCCTGAAGCTTTTGTCATCTATGAACAAAGAGAGTAACAGGATGGATATCCTGCCTGTGCAGGGAAAAGGGACAGTAATAGAGTGGCAAGTGTCAATGCTGTTTAAGTACCATGTGATTGAATTGGAGGACAAAAACATTATATCAACCTATGTGTTATTGGATATAAGCCTATGTAAATGTCTACAAAAATGGCTAACATGATTGGTCACCACATGACGTCACAGGAGAGTACAAGATTTATGACATCTGAGGTGCACGGAGGCTCAGGCCCTTTCAATATACTATGAAAATCCTTTGCAAAGCTGACTGACGGATGCCATTTAAGCCAACAAAGCATTCCTGTTAAACTAATTCATCTTGTTTTGCAGCCAAGCAAGGTGTTTTTACTTTGGCACTGAGGGTTATTGGAGTTGTGAAAATCTAATGACTGTCAGTATTGTAATAAGATAGATAGATAATACTTTATTAATCCCATAGGGAAATTGATGTGTTACAGCAGTCCAGCCCAAGACAAGCAAAAAACAGACATCAGAATATTTATAAAACAAAAGACCACAAAATAAATAAAAAAAATAAATAAATACGTAGGTGTGTGCAAAATGTGATGATCATAGTCACTGTAAAACCAATAAAATATGTGGAAAATGTGCATAGGTTTATACAGACTGATTGTCCAAAAAGTACAATGGAGCAACATGCCGTCCATAGATGAGCAAATGAAGGGCTAACAGTCTTAGCCTAGGGCAGCGTTATACACCCTGACAGCCGCCGGGAGGAAAGACCTGCGGAAACGTTCCCTTGAACACTGTAGCTGGAGCAGTCTGTTGCTAAAAGTGCTCCACTGCCCAGTAACAGTCCCATGAAACGGATGAGAGGTGTTGTTCATGATGGCTGTGAGCTTGGTCAGCATTCTCCTCTCAGCCACCACCTCCATGGGGTCAAGGCTCATCCCCAACACAGAGCCAGCCTTCTTGATAAGTTTATTAAGCCTCCACTCCCAAGTGTGACCGGTAGGCGAACTGCAGGGGGTCCAGTGCTGTGCTCACCGGGGTTCTGAGGTGGTCCAGTACAAGCCTTTCCAGAGTTTTCATTAGGTGTGATGTCAGTGCCACTGGTCTGTAGTCATTCAAGACTTTAGGGTGCCCCTTTTTGTGTATTGGCACCAGGCAATATGTCTTCCAGAGAATCGGAACCTTTTCTAATCTCAGGCTGAGGTTGAAGATGTACTGCAGCACTGAACAAACACAATCTTGTGTTTGTGTTTGTTAGTTTTAATTTGTACCTGAAGTTCACAATTTAAGAGTTCACAGTCATATTGTTGTGCAGCAATTTAAAATGTTATCTCTTCCTTTCGCATATGAGTACATCTAATCTGTTTAATATTAAATATAGAATCTATTTTTTTCTTTTATTATATGGCCAGTAGCCGTATAACCCTGCAACTCACAACTGACAACCCACTGAAGCTAAGCAGGTGTGAGCCTGGTCACATGGATGGTGCTGGAAGTGGTGTTAGTGGGGCCAGTAGGGAGCACTCACCCTGCAGTCTGTGTGGGTCCTAATGCCCCAGTGTACGACGGGGACACTATACTGTAAAAAGGCGCCATTCTTTAGATGAGACATTAAACTGAGGTCCTGACTCTCTGTGGTCATTAAATGTCATGGATGTTGGAAGGGACGAACCGTGGAATGGCGGGAGAGCAGAAAAAGACCCTATGCGAAGCTGTGGAACAGGGAATTAGCCCGTCTCAGCAGTACAGAGTTCAGAAAAATCCGTATAGAAACCTATGCCCTTAGGCCACGGACGGAGCGGCGACCTGGTGCTTGGCAGGTCTCATGACATCCGAACGTCGATGCTGAGCAAAGGGGAATGAGTGACCCGGAAATATATAGCCCCAGACAGAGAGACACCGGAAGGACAGCAAAGACCAGGACACTAGGGACAGGGCCGAGTAGGAGCGCCCTCTGGCTGCACAGGACATGACAGTACCCCCCCCCCCTTCATGGGCGGCTCCTGACGCCCAAACAAATAAATGAGCTGCACAGCACTGGGAGGAGGAAAAATATCATTTAACTGAAAGGAAACCTCCAGGAGTCCACAGCTGAGAGCTGCCCTTTTCTCCAGGGTAAAAACCTTTATTGGGTAGAGGAAGGGGGGGTCAAGTAGAGCTCCGGAGGCTTAAAACAAAAAACAGACATACACAAGCACAAACCACAAAAATAAACCTGGGAGACCAGGGTAACAAACCACACGAAACAGATAAGAACCAAGAGTTCCACAACACAGAGGTTAGGGGGACCAGGAGAAGGGGAAACCAGGAAGTGAAAAATCAAAACACCAAGCAAAAACAAAAACACAAAAAGCCCAGGAAAAATACCGCAGACTGGGCAAAACAAGTTCAACATTCTATCACTGATATCGGAATTGACAACCCTTGGAGAGCCAGGCGCTAGACCCGCTCACAGGCACGGATGTAAGGAGTGATATCCAGCAATGAGAATAGATTAACAGAAAAAAGCTTACCATTCTATCACTGATATCAGAATGAACAACCCGGGGAGAGCCAGGCATAAAGCCTGCTCACAGACACGGATGTCCGGAGTGATATCCAGCAATAAGAATAGGAAAGCAGGAAAAAGCACAACATTCAATCACGAATGCCGGGAGAGACAACCCGAGGAAAGACAGGTATTCGTAAGCGGATGTCGGGACGGCATACCACTGAATGACCTGCTCACTGTTACGATCCCTGCCTCCTGGCTACGGAAGAGGCAGAAGAAGGCGTAGCCTTACCCATCAGTTTACCTATCAATTTTCTTATTCACCACCACACCCCCGTCTCATCCTGTACTTAAACACCTGTCTTTTCCTACCTCCTCGCTCAGTATTGGTTTTCCTTTCGAGCTTCCTAGTTGCGCTACTCATTCTTCTGCCTTGTGTCCTTCTTGGTTTTCGGTTTACAGTTTTTCCCCTTTTGATGACGGTTTTTCGGATCACGGCTTGGCTTCCGTACTCACGCTCTGTTTTGGATCTCTGGCCTCCCCTGGACTATCGGATTGCTCTATTGTCTACGGTTTCGGATCACACTTTGGCTTCGGTAACTCGTTCCCTTTTGGATCTCTGGCTTCCCCTGGACTCTCGGCTCGTTTCTTCGACTACAGCTTTCTTTGGATCACAGCTAGGCTTTATCAGCTCCTGCAAGTGGGTTCATTCACTGGTTTCGGTTTCTCTTACCGAATCCGTAACACTCACAGGCACAGAAATCAGGAGTATTATCCCACGATTAGAAAAGAAGAACTGAAAAAAAGCCCAGTGGAAAAAAACCTGCGGAAAGACAAAAGGCACCGCTCACGGGGTCGGAGATGGCTCAGCATTCTGTCACGGATGTCGGAAGGGACGAACCGTGGAATGGCAGGAGAGTGGAAAAAGACCCTATGGGAAGCGGCGGAATGGGGAATTGGCCAGGGCTCAGCAGTACAAAAGTTCAGGAAATGCCGTATAGAAACATATGCCCTCAGGCCACGGACGGAGCGAAGACCTGGTGATAGGCAGGTCATATAAAGGGGCGTGACATATAAAGTCCCATGGCGTTTCTCGAAAAGAATAGGGGTATTATCCCAGTGTCCTGGCTACATTTCCCATTGGCCTTAAACACTAATGGCTTCCTAATCATCCACATCTATGAATTGGCTTCATTGCTCTGTTCTCCTCCCCGCTGAAAACTGATATGTGGTGAGTATACTGGCACACTATGGCTGCCATCACATAATCCAGGTGGGTGCCACACATTGGTGATAGAGGTGAGTCCCCAATACCTGAAAAGCACTTGGAGTGGAGTGTCCAGAATAGGGCTATATAAGAGCAATTAATTTTTACTGTTTTTTAATGTCAAGTTTTATGGCTGTCTAAGAAAAGGTTGTTCTTCACTACCATAGTAAATAAAGTCAGTGCTTAGCATTGTTTCCACTAACTCAAGAACTAAGAACATTAGCTTCTTTGTGTTTTGTTTTCCACAATGCCTTCTGATCTCTTTACAGATGAAGTGATAAAGCAAAGGAAGGAAGCCCTAAAGGATGAAAAAGAACTTGACAAGATTCATAAGAAGAGAAACTTAGACTTTCTTGATATCCTACTTTGTGCAAGAGTAAGTTACTACTATCCAGTGATTCTGTAAATGATATAAAATGCAAGTTAAAAAAAGCCTGTAGTGCATACAGTTGTTTAGTAAAGCAGTTGAACAGGTATATGAAAATGTTGATAAGAAATCCAGTACAAAACAATAATCAAACAAAATCAAACAATCAAAAACAATGTATACATTATTTTAGCCTACAATAATTCTATACTCCAAAGCAATTCTGAATTACCTCTCTGCCAATTCCTAATCTCAGTCCATTTAGTATAGTCTTCTGAGCCAAAAAGATGCCATCCTCTAGTACTAGAAAGACAAAAAATTCTATTGATGTATTCTGATGCATCACCACAGTACATTTTGAGTGTGGCATTGGATATGGAAACTTCTAGAAATATTTTTGAACTTTTTTGATGATGTACAGTGGCAGCACGGTTGGCACAGTGATTAACATTGTTGCCTCTCAGCACTAGGTTCAATTCCAGACATGGGTTGCAATCTGTGTTGACTTCTTATGTTCTTCTGGTGTTTGTGTGGGTTTACCCTGGGTACTCTGGTTTCCTCCCACAGTCCAAAGGAGGTAGAGTAACCAGTGTCAGATTTCCCATTAGGCACTGTAGGCACAGTGCCTAGGTCCTATGAAATTTTTAGGGGCTACGAAAGAGGGAAACACTAGTGACTAAGATAAAATGTGCTGAAACAACATGCTTGCAACCAACTTTAGGCATCCAAATCAATAAACATATGCTATCTAGCGGCTGTTCTAGAAACTAGAAGTATCGAAGTGATGATCACTCAACTCGCTCCATCAATTACACGGTTTACCATTAGAATAGCTGGAATAGAATAGTCAATCGACATAATTCAATTGGTGTTTACCCCTCTTTTTGCACATTTATGAGTGAAATTGCCTAGGGAACGTGGCCCTAGTGTAAGTGTGAGTCTGTGTGTACCCTGCAATGGACTGAAATCCCATCCATGGCATAACCCACCTTCCATCCGTTGCTTGCTTGGATAGGCTCTGGTTCCCCTGCAACCTTGAACTGGCTGGAGCTGTTAGAAAATGGATGGATGTAAGATAACAGCATGAGATAATTTGGTGAATACTGTGAAAAGATTCAAGGTTTTCATCAATATCCCAAATAATCAGTTTACTAAATGTCATCATACGCAATGTTAAATGAAGTACAACTAGTTAATTCAATTTTGCTCTGTTCAAATTACAATAACAACATGAATATAAAGGATGAATTAAAAGGAGAAACCTACTAAATACTTTAAAACTCATCTCAATGAGAAAACAGTAGCGCTGGCCAAAGATCAGTGCTATTACTACCCCCGAAACAATCCCCAAAATTCTGATACAGATTTCTTTAAAAATGAAGTTAATGGACTAAGCTGCAAACTTCTGCGGGAATTGATCAGAGAATATGAACTGTAGCATGGAGTAAATGAAGAAGAAACATGAAGGAAACAGGCTTGAGCTTTCTTTGTTCAAGCAGACTCACATACAGATGCAGCCATTCAAAATGCGCAGGCGATACCGCATTATTTTCCAGTGCGCTTTACGCAGTCTACCGCGAGTTACCGGTAAATACCGCTAGTTACCGTAAATTCTCCTATAATACCGCAAGCAAAATAATAGTATCCGGAATTTCCGCAAGGTGGAGCTAATAAAGCTCAGCCTCTCATGTTTGAGCTGTCGCCATCAAAGTCTTTAACGAAGATATTACTAATAGTATTAATAATGAATGACCTTGGACAAGCTGTAAGTGTAAACTCAAAGTATTGCCCTGGTCCACATTATTTTTTTCATTGACCGTCTTTGCAAAATGCTGTGGTGTTACTTTTACAATCACGCATTTGTTTCCAATCATGCAAAGTACAGTGATTCACCATGCCTTTCACATGCTCATAAAAGAGTTTGATTTAGGAACATAAACATATTACCGTATGCAAACTGTACTGTATACAGTATGTATATGTATATTTAATGTCTTAACTGTGCCTGTTTAAGTATTGAAT